CACAGCCAATCAAAATTAAATAATCGAGTTCACAATTCACTTGCATCCCCAAGACTGGGAAACGGTGGCCAACCATAATACCAAAAGAGCTCAACTCAATTTCCAGCATTTCGTCGAACATCATAAGAGCAACATAAAGAAATTGAACTTTACCTGCCTAGACGCTAGCTGCTGCTGCATTGAATCAAAGCCCAAATGCGGCGTTGACACCGCCGACGACGATGACGACGGCGACGCCGCAGCTGATGTCGATGCCGCCCGTCCGGCCGGAAACCCCGGATTCCGGAGGGGGCCACCCCCACCCGATTGCATGCAAAATTATACCAAAATTAAAACTATCAACACCACTTCCTTCTACTTCTATTACCAACAACCCCAAACACGAAACTTCCCCTCTTTTCTCTCACTCCAGTTTTTTTTTTTTTTTTAAGAAAAAAAAGACAAAACTGAAAATAAAACAGGAAAGTTCAATAAATCAAAATCCCTTGAAAATTCAACGGAAACCCTATATATACCCTCCGATCCTCATGTTCAAAACCCTTCATCCAAACAAAAAGAAGAATCGGGTAAGAAAAGAAAAAAATAAAAATAAAATAAAATCTCTGTTTCTCTACCGCGAGAATTTTGGAAAATGACCAACCGGATCGGACTTAGGGCTCAACCAGTGAAGCTCAGTTGACGCAATCAGTGATTTTGCAATTTTCCCCCAAAGCGTTAAAAATTCTTTTCTTTTTTTCTTTCCGATTTTTCAATCTCTCTTTTTCTCTCTCTATCTCTATCTCTATCTTTATCTCAACGACGATAACGGAGTTTATGGCTTTATGCGGAAGAACGTGGTTCGAATCCCTCCAAGCCATGTTTTCACAGTTTGATTCATTTTACTTTTCTATTGCAAATTGCCCCCCAGACCTCTCGTATTTACAGGAATGGCCCTTGTTTTGATTTGTTTTGGTTTGTACGCTTCTTGCCTTCCAATGCCCATTTTGAGGTTATTATTTAATTCTTTATTAACTCTAAATTATAAAAAATAGTATTTCTATTTCTATTAAATTTCAAGCTATAGTTAATGTTTTATTTAAAAAATATTTCAAAAGTTGCAATAATATAGTTTATTTTGTTTCAAAAATATAATATAATTTTCAAAATTTACATTAATATATTTTAAAATTTTCTTTATTTAAAACTATTTTTATAGGATGATTCCGTACATCTCGATGTTTATCGAGAGTGCTATTGAATAAATAAAAACGTTATTATATATATATATATATTTATGACTTAGAAATTCATTCATTTTTATAAGACTTATTAATTATAAAATTAAAAAATGGAGCGATATTATTTATATATATAAAAAAGCAAATATTGGTAAATAAACTTCGAATTTAATAAATAGAATAAAACGATAAAAATAATTAAAGCAAAATCTTAAAAGAAAATAAATAAAATATATATTAAAAAAAAAAAAAAACCCTTCCGTGGATTGTGCCTCGAATCAAACTCACCTGCTATAGCAGTTACGCTATCAGTTTTGTAAATTTATTGTCACCGGTAACCACCGGTTTCCATCGTTGCTTGGCGGGGATTATTACTTTACCCCCACATGTTCATGTCCCAGTCCTAATCCCTTCTCCATTTCCCGAGCCAAGTTTCATCCTTATCGTTACGTCGACGCAGTCTCCGGTCGCCGCTGTCTTTCATCTTCTCTCGCTCGGTTCGTCTCTTCTTCTACTGTTGTTCTCTGCAACTCTTAATTGATCCTTTTCTGTTTCTCGTTCGGTCGAGAAGTCGTGTCGGTAATTCTTAATATTTTTTTTAACCTGTTTGATGGATGATCCGCTCTTTCTAGTGGTTTTAATTGGAGTTGTTGCATATTGGTAGGGTGTTAGATCTGTTTGTTGTTTGATCTTGCATACTTGAATGGATGAATATACGACCTAGATATATGATTGTGTGTATGTATGTTATAGATTGGTAATTTATATCTTTGTAGGCCTAATTTCTCTCGATTAGATTGAATTGTGGAATCGCGTTGTAAATTAGAGTACTAAGTGGGATTCTAGTCGAATTGACGCGGCACGAGGGAGTTGTCTTCTAAATTTACGACTAATTCCTTAGTTCTAAATACCTCTAATTGTCGTACCGTTGAAATTGCGTCTGGAGTTGCGTTTTTTTCTTTCTTCTTCTTTTTAATTGAGCTGGTAAGATATGTTTTCCTTTGCCAGATTCTGTGAGGTTGGAATACACGAGAACTCCCTTAGAATGGCAGATAATGATGGAGAAGAGAATAACTCTCGTGGAAATGGATGGGAAGTTGTTTCACTCACTGCGTCGGCATATGAAGCTGCTCCTAATGTGAAGGAAAGCGAATCGACTGATGAAAATAAAAGCAATTTGTACGAAGCAGAAACTTCCAATGCTTTGTTTATGTCTAGGCACTTCGTATTTCCACCGAATCAGCACGAGAATTTGCCATTGGAACCTGATAAGAGTGAGATTCACGATGATCACGGAGGGAAGGAGAATGTGGACTCTGATTCTGCTTCTGTAGATGGCGGAAAATCAAGTAGAAAAAATGAAGATGTCTTGAATTTAGAAAGGTTGGGTGAGACAGATGAGTTTTCTGGGATTGACAAAACTACGGAGAAAGGCGGCAAGCTGTCTTTTCATGGTGATGAATTTAGTGAAAATACAACGCTACCAGATTTGAATCTGGTTGACAAGGAGCAGGATCCCTTTGATGCTCCTACCTATAGCTCCTTTCATGGTGAAACCAATCTCAGTTCAATGACAAATGATGAAATCCCTCCATTGGAATCTAACGATCAAGTCTCGAATCCAGAAAGCTTGGAAACTCATAGACTTGATAGTAAAAGCAACAAGTCCAATCTTCCTTGTGGCGCTTGGTGGAAGAGAAGAGCTGCTAATTTATACTCTCATGCAAAAGAAGCGAATGCATTTTGGTCCATTTTCATTGCAGCAGCTGTTATGGGACTTGTAATACTTGGGCAGCGCTGGCAGCAGGAAAGTTGGCGGACTCTGCAACTGAAAGGGCACATTAGTGTGAACGATCAGGTATATTGATTATTGTTATTTCCGTTTGATGGCATTCTGTTTATCGTTCAGCTTCTTCGTTATTATTCTGTATGCATCTATTCTGTTATGTACTTTGAATTTTGAGTTCCAGATTTAAGTCTATAGAATAGATTTCAGAATAGGAAATTCAAGTTCAATCTCAACAAGAGCCATGGTGCTGACAACTAGGTTCTTAACATTGTTGAGTGAAAATAGTTTTCTCTCTTATCTTTGTTTACATCTTTCATCCAAATTGGAGACTAAATTCTGAGATTTCCTACATACCCTGCTAGCTTATTATTCCTTTAAAGATGCGTCTGTTGCTTTGACTTGATGTCGAACTGCTAGGCTTAAATTTTACGAGCAGAAACAATGCGAATAAGCTTGTTGTAGCCAGAAATTCGGGGACCTTCCAACAATGAAGCCAGTTTTGTTGAGTACCAACAGATCCAAAAGCTAATTCCAGTTCTGATTAGGGGAACTCATTATATGGTTGTAAAGCCAAATTTTTATCTTACCCTCTATGTGTTCTAACTTCTAAGCCTCATCTTTGTAGTCATTGAGGAAATATATGGGGATATTCATGTTAAAGTTTCTAGTTCTTGGTTTAGGCTGTTAGCGAATTTAAACTGATATGTTCATAGTGGTAGCTATCTGTTGCAAGTCAACGTTTTTCAAGTGGCGTTACTTAAAATTTTTGGGTTGGTCTGCTTATTGGCTTTTGGACTTGGCAACTACACACAAACCTTGCCATCAAGTACTCATTTATTAACAACTTGCTTCCATCATCCCCGTGTTCGTAGCAATGCAATGAATTGTCTGATTCAGCTTTTGAGATGGTAGTTTAAAACATACTTGGTTGCTTGCAATTGCAACTGTTGGTCGCGTCATGGCTATAGAAATGCACCCTCATGCCTATTTTAGAAGAGATGTATGCTTCCTTCCTTTTCCACGTTGCCTTATTGCCTTAATTTCCATGATACTGTTACAATTTCAGAAGACAAACCGAGTTCTAGGACCAATAACTCGACTTAAAGACGTGATCGTGGGTGGCCAACGCCGTGGTTCGTCCATCAAGTTTAGCCCCAGTGAGTTGTAAGATGATGATGGTAAGTGTAGAAAAGGAAGAACAGAATGAAAGGAAGAGGTTCGTTGGTCGATTGCCCAAGTGTGTACGACCGCTTTCAAAATTTACACAAGTGCTTTGGGGAACATGTTCGAAGTTTGATTGTTTAAATCATAATATTTCTATCTTGGTGGTATAGTACCATATTGCATTGTACATTAGCTTAATCCATTATTGGGTGAAATGTAAGTCTCAAAGGTCATACCTATATCCCTCTCCCTAGGGGTTCATTTTATTTCGACTTTGTCGAGAACGACCCTTCATATCACAGATTGAATGACACATTTATAGCTCACTGCTCAGGNTATTGTTCACTTTTTTTTTTTTTTTTTTTTTTTTTTTTTTTTTTTTTTTTTTTTTTTTTTTTTTTTTTTTTTTTTTTTGCATGTAATTGGTAGCTGAATTGAAAGACACCAGATATAAACTGATCTAATCAAACTGGTTTGGCTGGTTAGAAAGGTTTGGGTACCTTACTTGAACCAATCTGTTCTAGGTTGTACAATCATGTCCTTTTAAGTTTAGTAATCTTTTAGGCACGACGAATGAAACATCATGATCCAAGATCTAAAAGAAAGAGGACCCACATCTTCCGTGTTCCATCTTACTATTATCTTTTAAATTTTGGCATCAACATTTTTCTTTTATCATAAATTAAGAAACAAGTTAGTTTGGTGGTAATTTTACCCCAAGGTAAAATGTTCTTGAATGAGGGTGTACCAGCACTATAAGTATAATGAGACAGCTACAGTAACTAACAACCATCGTAAGGTAAAAAGCTAGAAATAACAAGAGCAAGAGATGACAAAAAAAAAAAAAATTGATTTTTCTTCTGCTCTTGTAGTTTTATGCCGCACACTATCAAGGGGAATAAACTCCATTATATGGGGACAGTAAAAAGTAAAAGCGGGGGTAATTTATATGCGGNTTTTTTTTTTTTTTTTTTTTTTGTTCACCCTTTTTGGAGCCAACCCAGAAAGCTGTTGCCAGGAGGGCTAGCTATGGCATCGGCAATTTTATGGAAAATGAAAAATTGAAAAGCTGTGTAGGGTGCTCAGACTTGCCTGTTTTTTCCTCCATTTTAAATTTAGCTTTCTTCTTCTTCTTCTTCTTCTTCTTCTTATCCCTTCTCCAGAATGGGGCCTTTTAATCAAGAACCTTCTCTCCCGTTGCAAAGATATTCCACACTAATGTGCCTATGAGATACAATGCAACTGACACCTTGAATACATCGTCCCATGAACCTGCGCCAACCCAAAATCGCGAATTCAATTACCTTAAATAAAGTTGAATTGCCTTCATAGTTGTGTCTATTTGACCTCTCCATTCTGTTGACATTGTTAGTTAAAACAATGATGTGACATGTCTCGGACCATGTCTAATAGACACGTCATTTCATTGTTAGTTTACTAATACTAATGCCAAAAACTAACATAAAATAAAATAAAATAAAATTTTAATGTTGAAAGATGGAACAAATACAACCTAGACTAAATCATTTATTTGTAATCTTTTATTTATCTAGGAAACCCTTGCAAAAAAGGAAAAAATAAATAAAGTACAAATTTACATCATGAACTTACAAGTTTGCGTTCATTTGGTTATGTAAACTTTAAAAAGTGTAATGGGTCGGGGTTAAACTTATTAGACACAACATTGAGAATTTAAAAGACTTATTAGACATAAAATTATATTTTTATATTCAATAGATTAATACATTAAAAAAATTAATATGTTAAGAGTGTTTTAAATATAAAATTGAAAATTCAAGTAGTTATTAGACATTTGGACTATTGAGACCTAAACAAACTTAGAAAGTTCAGGCATAAAGAAGAAAAGGAAAATACTATGAAGAATAAAAGTCAACAAACCTCGCTGGAGTATGTATCCTGTTGCAGCAGTGCCGACGACTCCGGCTAACACGCCGGCCGTGTTTGATAATCCTAACAACACTCCCTGCGTATGAAAGCAATTTTTTTATTTTTATTTTTTAAAACGGCATGATTAGATAATAGTGAATTAGCAGCAGTTTGATAACTCACAGCATATCGTGGTCCAATGTCTTGGTGATTGGAGTAGAGACCCGATTGTGAAAATGCATCAGATCCCTGTAAAAAAAAGTTAATAAATCAAACCAATCATTTACAGTCTAAATAATATATTGATATTTAATAATTACTTAAAATAATTATTATTAATTAATTTTATTAATTAATTATACTTATTATTTTTCATCAAATTGGATGAGTTGTAAAGCTCGTTGTATAATAATATGGTGGATTTTAAAAAGTGAAATCTTATGAAACAAATAAGAAATATTAAATATTTATCCATTTCATGTTTGCTCAGCTAATTCTGACAGTTTATCTGGTTGTTCTTTCTTTATTATTTCTAATCAATTACTTAATATGTAAGAAAATGTGAATACCTGACTGCATGCCATGCATAATACTGCCATAGCAGGTGTTCTAACATGACTCAGCTGACTAAGGAAGAACGCTGGTCCCAGAAATCCAATAGATTGCATAATCTGCATACAAAAACATTCTCCTCCGTAATTATTTAACACAAGAACTGAGTAGAAAGTTCATTAATAAACCTGAGTGAACAAGGCTAGTATTCCTACATTTTATGGAGTAGAAATACAACCTAAGACAAATTTATTTGTCCAAGAAGAAAATATAGTTCATGGATGTATCAGTTCAAGGTCAACGCTAACAGATATTGTTTGTTTTGGCCCATTACGAAATGTTGTCTGCCTCACGGTTTTAAAACGCATCTTTTAGGGAGAGGTTTCCACACTTTTATAAGAAATATTTTGTTCTCCTCTTTATGTGTGATCTCACAATGGAGCTGTGTAGACAGTGGACAAATTGAAGTGCATCTTGACTATATTCATCTATTTGAAAAGTTAATTATGGTATCGATATTCAGAGTTAAACTTTGCATCATACTGTACAAACGAATTAACGTCTAGCAGATAACCGAGCAAGCTAAATGTGTAACTCTTTCTGAAGAAATAACTCATAGAGCTGAGAACCAGAGCACAATCCCTACCGTCATGTAATTACTTGAAACATAATTAAGCTGGAAAGAATCTTGCCTTTCGAACTGTAGTGATGGAAAAGCCCCTGCTAACTAGCGTGTCTGCCATCCATCCTCCTATATTTGCAAAAACAGCCATGGTCAACCATGGCAGAACACAGAAGAGTCCAGATTCGGTGAGGTTGAACTTCAAAACCTGAGACAATAACAATGAGCGAACTCTTTTATGATTTGATTATTCGCTCCTACAGTTACTTTCTGCTATGCCTAGATGCAAGTGTATCATCAGCTAGAGATAAATGCTGAACCCTGAATTACCTGATTATAGTATGTGGGCATCCACGTCAACAGAATGAAGGTTCCCCAATTATGGCAGAAATGGGATATGATAAGAGCCCACACAGGTGCTTTTGATAAAATTAATTTCCACGGAATAACTTCCACAGGCTCCTTCGAAACGCTTCCATCAAAGATAATCCTTTTTTCCTTTGCACTGAGATCTGGATCTTCTTTTGGCGAGCTATATGCCTGACAATAAACCAGAATGAGAAGGTAGGAGTGCTTTTTTCTTCCTTTTTTGAGATAGAAATAGAAAATTTTCATTGAGAAGACCACAAAAGATAATGATAAAGGCAAAAGGAGACGTTTGATTCAACAAAATGAAATGAAAAAAGCAAATGCAACTCAAAGTTTCTGTTTTTTGTTATAACCTAATTTTCTTTCATCCTTTCATTATGCCCAATATAACAGGAAGGATTAATGGCCATATATGTAATGATAACTCAGCATCTCTTTTCTCACTGCCTAGATCTTCCTTCATGATGGCTGCATAAATTCAATTTTCTCTAGTGGAGTGGAGAACTATTCACTTGTAACACGTAATGTTAAATTTATAATATAAATGCAGAAGAAGCAAAAATTACTTTTCTTAGCCACAGTGCAAACCATATACTTCCGAGAGAACCAAATGAGTAGAACACAGACGGCCATCCAAATTTGTTAATTAACATTGGTGAGAAGGCCAATCCCGTTACAGAACCGAGATACATGCCACTGTACACTAGTGCAAGTGATCTGCTTCTCTCCGATACAGGAATCCACTTTGATATAATATTGTTCATTGCAGGCATAGCAACACCCTGCAAAGGAGGCACATAACACGAATAATGAGTTCTATCAGCTGTGAACTCAAAAACAGTCTCAGTTCAGATTAACTCTTTCAGATGATGTGATTCAGCTGACGCCAAAACTAGCTTGGTTAAAAAAGTTAAAAAAAGTTAAAAAAGGAATAAAGATGCTCGGTGATACTGATAATGATCGTGATATATTAGTTGAACACATGGACAAAAGTAGAGCACAAAAGCCTACCTCACCAATTCCCATGAAAGCACGCATCATAAGCAGGAAAGGAAGCCCAATTCTTGCAGCAATTGGTGTCAATATAGTTGCAATTGACCACCATATTACCCCAAAACCCAACACAAGCTTCCCACCGATTTTGTCTGCCCATATCCCCCCAACAATCTAACCAATCAAATATAAACACGTTATATTTGATATAACTGCTCTATCTCCAAGTCAAACACTTTAGTAGCCAAAAAAAAAGGTTGTCAGGAGAAATTTTGGGTTGATCAACTCTAATCAAACCTGCGTTAGAAGATAGCCCCAGAAAAAAGATGACTGGATCAAGCCAACTGTTGCACTGTTCCAATTATATTCTTTCGACATTGGGAGTATGGCAATACTCATGTTCACCTGCAGAAATTTGTTCAAACATTTAGCTCACAAAATAAGTATATTGATGTCACTTACGCCAGCCTATTGAGGGCAGGTAGTAGAACCGTGTTATTGACATGTTACAGAGAAATTATAAAATAGCTGCTTTACAAAGATACCATTTTTTCGGCAAAAAGATATATGCATGTGTTTTGATTGACTGCCAACTATATTTGTTGGTTTTGACCCTTGATCAAAGTACACCGAAACAAATAAGCAAAGCAGAGTGAAACATGGGTAAAACACACTTTGTACTAAAATACTTTAAATCACAATGCTTTTCGACTTCTACAAATTAAAACGTACAACTAATAGTCATTTAAAGAAACAAAAGCATTGCAACTCTTCTCCTAGAAATGCTCCATGATTACTAACTTCTCAATGCATGACTGCCACATCCCATGATTCCAATGTGATATTTAATGCTCGACTTTGAACAATTCGAGCTTATTGACTCACAATATTCAATCATTAGTTACCATCTAAACAGAAAGTATATATTGATCAAGCAAGCCTTAAAACACTAAAGTTATCGATGACGTTTATTGTTATTAATGGTACACCATTGGTGGATCATTGATCACCACCATTAAGAGATATTACATTATCTCGTTTTCTAAAATGGATTTAATACACACGATATTCTTGTACGCATTCCCTGATTCGACATGAAACACCAATTCTTGAGTAAATAATGATAAAGCAATTGAAAGATAGTCCAATGGTTCCATGTTCTTCAAGCTAAAAGAAAATGACATTCATTCAAGGAGTAGGAAAGGCATAGTACTCACACGATCCATATTGCATAGAAGAAAGGCGAAAAAACAAAGCAATACAATCACCCAGCGTTTTGGAAAATTCTCCCACCAAGGCAATACCATCTGCTCATTGCCTTCAATAAAGAGTGCATCACCTGACCCCTCTGCCAATGCCAACGCATCCACATCTCCTTTTGTTATATCAAAGTCATTTGAATTGTAATTAGCAGAAGTTCGGTCAACCTTAACATGCCGAGACTTTTGGCATTGCAGCCAACTAGGTCCACTCGTTAGAGTGCAAGCACTAGTCAAGTGAGGATAATAACTGCATTTAGCAGTTTCATCTGTACGAACTCCCAGTGGCTTTAAAAGTTTACCGTCTCGGGTTATAGCATGAAGAAATGTGGAACATGAGATCTTAGGAGAATAACTATTTAGTCTCAGACCAAGAGACTTTCTAAAAGACAAATTTGGCTGTCCATATTGAGCCGCAATAATAACTGAACGTTCTAACGCATGGTGAGAAGATGATTTCTCTGTCTTGCACACTTTTCCTGCAAATACAAGGGTGGACAACCAAATGTGTTTTCTCAACAGCGGCCATTGAATTCAAATAAAAATTTTAAAGAGAGAAAGAACCAAATAACGAACAGGACTGGAAATTGGACTGGCAATTGTCACAGTAAATACCCTCAGCTAAAACAAATTTAGCGTGAAATTAAGCCTAGTTCCATTCCACTACATGCAAATCGCTTCCGGTCGTCACTCACTAATGATTAAACCTCGAGTAAACGAAATGCAGAAGAACATTAAGGAACTCAATGCAGGTACAACAGCAAACAAACATTCATTACCAAGTATACACAAGACGCTTCAAGCAGGAATGAGAATAACACCAACACTATAAATTCAATTCCGAATATGAAGCATTCAAAATAAGACGAGAATAACAGAAAAAATACCTGAGCCGACTAAGGAACCGAAGTCCCGATTAGAAGAAACGAAACTTCCGATGGCCATTTCCAACGGCAAAAAAAAAAAGAGAGAATAAAAAAGCTTCACTAATGTACTCAAATTGAAGAAAACCACTGCTGTTGATGAAGAACAGAGCGCATGGTTAAGAGATATGGTGAAAGATTATCGTAATATCCGCCCCTCAGCCTGTAGCCTGCAAGCTTCTGAAGTTCGTCGAACCGTGGAAGATAAGTAGTGGTTTCGGATTTAGAGATTCGTAATATTCCCTACTCGTTTCGATTTCTCTCTCCTCTTAACTCTTGCTCTCTCAACTAGCGGGAAGAAATTTGTTGTGAAGTGACCAAAGTAAGGGATAGAAGATGGATACGTGGCAGACCACTCTTCTGGTGTAGTGGACGGATTGAAAAGACGAAAAAGCCCTTGAAGACAGGTTTTGGCTAGAGACGCTATTTGACTCTTTGAATGAGTTGGCCTCTACCCGGACTTATTTTTCAATTGCCACCGTGTTTTTTTTTTTTTTTTTTTTTTTTTTTTTTTTTTTTTTTTT